ATCAGTGACACAGTTGTTGTATGATATCAGTGACACAGTTGTTGTTATCTATAAGCAGTGACAATTCATGTCTTCATCTGTGACATGATTCTGATAAAGTATTCTTTGTCGTCAGAAACATTCTCTATCCTGAAGGCACTGTAGTTCCCATAATTACACATTACAAAGGAAGATATATAGTTCACATGATACAAACAAATAACTGGTCCAAAGATTGTAATGATGAAACTGTCCTGTGTCACAACGATGGAAACAAAAGTACATATAGTAAGTAAATGGAGAGGAAATTTAATTTGTAGCTGCCTTTATTGCACTTTCAGTGACTTGATGTTTGATGTTAGCGCCGTTTATACACCATGTTGTGACGATGTCCTCTCTGAAAAAGGAAGAAAAAAAAAGCCCACATTAATCATGCCTGATCTACAGTTTCATTTTTCAATCTTTGCATAAAACAGACTTTTATTGAAAATGGTATTAATACCCTATATGCAATACTTTACTAATATCAGAACATTTGACACATTTGCATCGAAGAATCAAGAAAAAATATTAATTTAAGCATGTGGGGAAATAGCACACCCATATGACTTGTAAACATGCATTCGCTATGTATACAGTGGTGTAATAATAAATGATAACAGTTTTCAGCAGAACCCTACTTCAAACTTTGTGATGAACTCCGAGAAGATCCCAAATATTTCCGTTGTTGATTTCTTGGAGTCTTCCCCAAAGAACTGAACCATGGCCTGGAATTCCTCCATGGTATTAGCTTGGAGACGGAACAGACCCTGGATCTCATCTGACGCCTGTGATATAAAGTGCTGCCTTGTCAAGGAGAACTGTGTTTTTGTACAGGTGTGGAAGGTAGAATTCCTGTTGCTGATAGTACACAATTATATTGCTGAGTACCACAGTCCTTTATTGATAGTACATGCAGTATCAAAATTAACTTATTAAGATTTTTTTTATTCTTATTGCAAACAAGTTATAACTACAGATGTACACCTCACCAATCAGTTGCTAAATGTCAGATTATGAAACACTCTGTCTAACTTTGTTGTACTAGATCTGCAGGACCAGATATATCAGATTTCTATAGACTTTTTGCTACAGATTAATACAGTAGGAATTGGTAAAAGCTCTTTGCTTTCAATATTTGTTTATTGTAGTGGGCAAAAGACATATTTTAGTATATAGCAGTTTATAAAGTCTTAAAAGTCACAGCCCAATTCAGTAATTGTCTCTGCAGTCCTAGCAGATGTTACTTACATATAAATTATAATATATGTAATTTATCCATGTGCTCCTAGGTTTTATGTCAAAGTCAATTTTCTTTTCAGTCCTATACGTCTAGTCTATTAGTGGCTCTAACCCTGTATACCTACATTGATTGTCTAATTGATCCTAGACCTATATACAAATGTACCTATATTGTCCACATGTAGCTATTTCTATTTTAAAAGGATACTCCCATCACATCCTGGAAGCGATCATTGGCTCCGATGCTTGTCTTCTGAGATCCAAACTTTTCCAGTGTGTTGGAGACATCCTGATTAAAGACATGAGGAGAAGTTACATGTCTTACTATACATAAACTGTATGTACATTGCTGGATATAGGTTTGATCCCTGTTGTCATAGTGATGTTATATAAGTCAATTTAACCATTTCTGACACATACTTTCAGTTCACACAGGAACTTAGTAACCTATTAAAAAAAACCTCCCTACAAAGTTCTCTACACATCACTTATAGTCATCATCCCACCAACAAACACTGGTCCTTAGAAAGTAGTTGCTGGCAAAAACTTTAAATACCTGTAATACTTTTCTCAGTTCTTGTAGTTCTTGATTCAGCATAATGTTAGACACTGAAACACAATATATATACATATAAACATGTTAGTATATACATATAAACATTAGTATATACACATAAACATGTTAGTATAAACATATAAACATGTTAGTATATACATATAAACATGTTAGTGTATACATATAAACATGTTAGTATATACATATAAACATGTTAGTATAAACACATAAACATGTTAGTATATACATATAAACATGCTAGTCACTATTATATGATTATGGAAGGATATGTTTTTTGGATTCACTGTGTGATAGCTGAACTTTACCAAAGCCTTTGGTGGGCTGGGGACTTGTGGTAATGGTTATATCTGCTGGCTAAT